CTCTCTCTCTCTCTCTCTCTCTCTCTCTCTCTCTCTCTCTCGCTGTTTTTATCATTCTCATCGCTTTTCTAGACCATTCCAAAGACCTTGGATCGTATCGCACCGACCTTTTCTTTCAACAGCTGCAACTTTTTGGTAAAAGTTACAATACTAATAATAATTCTCATTTTGAAAATCACTGCATATAATAAATCCACAGCGTAGTTGTCAGTACAACTAAATACAACTACTAATTAATTCATATTGTTATCCTTCTCAGTATTGTAAGCAAAGTTGTACTTGTTGTCACTGTTAACTTCTTTATTATTGACACTGTCAGTTGTATAAAATAAATATCTCTGCCTGGAACAGCAGGTTAAATAAAGCATTATCTCAGCCATCTTCATGTATCATACCTCATCAACACCACTATCACTGTTATTGTCATGTAGTGTTTATATTTGTTAATGTGTGAATAGTTACATTCATTATTTTTCTTATTATATGGGCCATATTCTCTTACCTACCCTTAATTCTGATTTTAACCTGTCAGGTAGAGAAGTCTCGCTCTGCTACAGCCAGAGTGGTTGTCTGGAGGGAAATGGGAGTTCTGAGAAGTTATACTTTGGAGAATACTTACAATGGCTGCAACCAGGGAATATACAAGGTGTGTGTGTGAGAGAGAGATTGGGTGAATTAGGGTACTCTAATAGAATTACTTAATGCTACTGTGCACTTTGGCACTTTTTACCATTCATTTTGTGCCATGTGTACAGGGAGTAACTATGTGACCAGTTTAAAGCAGTTTTATACCTGTAGCTCTGTAGAGCTCCAGAGTGGCAGGGGTGGTGTTGATAAGGAGATCCTGACCATGCTGTGCCAATAATACCTCAGTGGGTAAAGTGTTTCGCCGTCAGCCTGCACAGAATACTTTGTGTCTCTGCTCAACTTGCCTGATTTATTAGACCAGACATGGTCTGAACTGCCAGCCCCTCTTTTTTTATTGTCACACCACCAAACACCATCTTCTCTACATGATACATGTTGAACAAGGGTGGTTAGCAGAAGGAAAATCTGTTGCAATGCTGAATCACTGAATCTCATCTACTTGCTAATGCTATGTGTATTTCTCTATAAAGCCCAGGTCGTAACAAATCTCAGAGCAGCCAAAGATAACCAGTGGCACTTTCCTTCGCACGCTGCTTTCCTCTCAGTTTACCAACACAGACCAAGGGTTTATTCACAATGCGTCTGTGCAAACCACTAGAAACAAGCTGCTGATCTCTCAGCTTGCTCAGCTCCAGTAATTGTTAATGGGTAATGGACACACCCTCAGAGAGAGATGAGATTGCAATAAGTTTTCAGGGACAATAGCTGACTGCGGCCGCAAGATAGCAATAATGTAAAGGCTGGATGCACATATTAATTGACAGGCCTTTATGGGAGAACTGTCATGGGTTCACACTTGTATGCAACTTTGTTTTGTTCTTGATGTTTTTGTTTTTTTGAACACAAGTTCCTTTTAAGCTGGACCATTTAGCCTATGCACTTATAAATCTAAATCAAAACAGAATGTAATGATATGTAAATTTCATAAATATGGTCATTTCCCAAAGATTGAGATGTTTAGCATGTTTAGCATGTTTAGCACCGGGTAGCATGATGTCTTCTTTTAACAACAGGCCATAAACGTCTATAAACTGAGGAGAGCAGCTGCTGGACTTTTGAATGCCCCATTCTTGTCTGAGAGATGATTTTTTTTTTTTTTATTATATGATGCTTAAAATGGATAAAGCCAGTCTGGACTGCAGGCAGGCTAGTTCAGGTCATCTGCTGTTAGTGAGCAATGCTGTTGTCACAGTATGAGGTTTAGCATTGTCTTGCTGAGTCATGCAAGAACTTCCCCGAAAAAGCATCTGTTGCTAATCTTCTGGAGCCTTACCAGATATGCAAGTTGTACAATTCTCTTAAACTATTTGGTGATTAGACTCAAATGACCCATCATAGCAGAACAGAATCCCACCAGTGATGGGACAGCACCCACCCCACACATCCACAGAAGAGCACTGAGATTAAAGTTTGTGCATAGACGAAGCTGATTTGCTTGGAAAAGTTGGGCAAAACATGACTGGGCTAGAGCAGTGATGTAAGAATTGAGTTTGGCAGCATGATAAAACAAATGTAAAGTAAAGAATAGCTAGTAGCTGAAAACCCAGGATAGCAGGGAGATGAGTGATTACAGATCTTCCTTATTGAGCTTTTGCATAAGCTTTGCTTCAGAGAATCTTTGCCTGACTAAGATGGTCTTTTTATGCCCTATTATGTTACTGACATCTTGTCAGTTGTTCCAATTTGATGTAAAATTTCCCTCCTGCTGTGCCCCAAAGGGGCACTTTTGAGTCATGTTGGTCCATCAAATTAAAAAAAAAAAAAAAGATTAGTATTTTTAATTAAATAGTAAAATGTCTCAGTTTAAGCATTTACAATATTCTCTATGCTCTATTGTGAATAAAATATGCTTTTATGAGATTTGCAGATCTGTTTTTGCTTTCATTTTACACAGCATCGTAGCTTTTATTTGGATTGGGTTTGTAAAAAATCCAGTAGCGTGTTCCTAACAAATGTCTCTCATTGGGCAGTGTGCACAAATTTTCAGGATGTATAATATACTTAACTTGGCTCAGGAGGGGAGCGTGTCTGTGTGTGTTGTTACAGGGGCTGCAGACAGGAACCCAGGAGCACCAGGAAATGGGGATGAAGTTCTGCCACAGTGTGTTGTCTGTAACCAAAGACACAAGGATTCTATACAGCAGGAAACTCATCAACCATATTGACCTGGACCACAACATGCTGGACCACAAGTCTCACAAGTAAGCTACCGTTCTAGGGCCGCTTATCACATGTGGGTTTTCCCTGTGGCAGCAGGAAGGACAGTGCTTAAACCAGGGCAGTTCGAGTGGAATTCAGGTATTTATGGCAAGAGGTGATGAACAGCTGCTGATGCAAAACACACCTGATGCCACTGCTGCAAGCAAGCAAGCTGTGTGTTTACACAGTGTGTTTTACATAAAACTTACTTTGTTGTTTTTGGTGAACAAGACTTAACATGGCAATTCTTTCTTCTTTCATGCAGCTGTTTTGAAGACGATGAGCCTCCGTGTGCTGAGGAGATCGAGTACTCTGTTGGCTGTCCCACACTTAAAGGCAGTGATTTGGATTCAGACATTGACAGCAACATGGCCCATGTTGATGAGGATGATAAGGATGACAAAGAGCACAGTGCTCAAAAACATCAGCAAGACAGCATCAGTCAGTCTCAGCAGTCAAGCATAAAGAACCACCTGTTTCCTCCACAAACCCGGCAGCCATCCGTCGATACACCTAGTGAGAGAAGAGACTTGCGTAATGGTTTGAGCATTGCAAAATGAAAAATCACAAGTTAAAAGGTTTTTTTTTTTATAATTTACTTTCTTAACAATAGTAAGAGAGCATCAGCTAATATGAGCTGTAGTCCTTTAAACAGCAGACTGTTCTGGATGAAAATAATTGTAATTCAAAACCAGCTTAACTAGAATGTATTACTAAAGACTGAAAATATGCATGTGATCAATACTTCATAACAGACTTTAACATAAACATGTATAGGCAAGTACAGCCATGACTTAAAGACTGGCTATTTTACTTAGACCTAAATTTTCAGGAAAGGAATCTCATAACTCCACCAGTTATGAGAAGAAATGACAATAGTTTCAATGAATGATGGATTAAAATCAGTTCTTATTGAATATTTTTGTATGTAAAAGGTCATCAGCATAGTCTTAATGATACTGATAACATCACCAGTGAACAAAAATGCATGCTATAACAGTGATCTGCATTTTGTCTGTCTTTGTCATTGGGTGAAAATAATTTCGTGTTAGCCCTTTTAGTTAATATCTACAACATCAGATAAATTCTTGGTTTAGTGTTCCAGCATCTTATTGTGACTGGCTTTTTTCTGTCTGTACAACAGTAGGCACTACTTTGATTATCAGTAGGTAATTAGCAAACTGAAACAAACTTGATTGTTGCTGTGTAAAACTTTTAAATCAACTTAGTTGTATTAATTACAATACTGGGGACTGGTACTTATCTTTCCTCTTCTCTACCTTCGCAGAAAAAACAAAAACAGGTGAATAGGTTTAACCTGCTTGGAAGAAAGAATTCAGCATGTTTCCCAAAATGTTCTCACCAAAATGTCAAGTTCAAATATTATGCTGTATGTTATAGACTTAAAATGTGTAAACTGTAAGGCAAGGGGTGGTATTTGGCTTCTGAGTAAATATCAGCGATTTACTTTACAATTAATATCCTGCCAAGAACACATCCTGTACACAACTCCATGTTTTATCTTTTCAAGTTTCATTACAAACAAATCTCAAGGTTAAAGAAACTCTGATGACTGATGGTCCATTTATTCAGAAGAACATTAATATTGACTGTAATATTATCACAGAACTGCAACTACGCTGCCTTTACAGCAGTTGTAGTTTGTTTTGTAATCCACAAGGGCACAATGCTGTTCTCAAGGGTCATGTATGAAATTATAAATGTTAACATTTTCCAGAAATAATTTTTTCCCAACATTTTTTGCTTAAACAAGCCTATGCTGATGGAATCTAAAATTTCTGAAAGTACATGAGTTTTTTTTACCCAGCAGGTTAGCCTTTTAGCCTAAATTTGTGCAAATGTACGATAAATGATATAGTTTATACATTTATACAGTTTGGGGATTCCATGGATGGAGGATCCAAACTCAGAGCACACAGGGAACACAATAAAACCCCAAATCCAAATCTTAAATCCAAAAGTAGACATCCAAGTAAAAGCAAACAAGCAAATAACTTCAGCAAAGCTAGGGAAAGGCAAAATCCCAAAATACTCCAAAGATTATAGATGAGAAGCTTGGAAGTCAGAACAAGGTAAAATAGAAAGAACATACAAGGTCTCTTTGTTTACTTTGTACTGTATGTACTGTACATGCTGTACTGCTGTGAGTACTCCTGCTATTTTTAACTCCATTTTGACTGCCTCCAGTCATTTTGCACCTTTAAATCACACTGGATCTTTTCCACTTTGACAAAACTATTTGAACTTTAGAATTTTATTGTGAAAAGAGGATCACCCACAGGAAGCCAGATCAGCTGATATCCATCCATTTGAGCTCAAGTTTGAAATTTCTGATGCAAAATACAAGTGGTCAAAACTGCGCTTGCAGGAGATGAATAAGCAGCAATGCCAGAAGTGGTCAAAAAGTTTTCAGGGAGATTTTTAATTTAATTATTTGTTATGGGCAAAGTTAGGTGGGAGTAGAAGAAGCTTTTATCACACCTAAATCCCATTCCTCCTCCCAGCTGTGAATTCTTTTTCGGCCATGAGACAGGACATCTCATTGCCCACTGTCCCTATCGCCAGTGCAAAGAGCAAAAGTTGCCAACTTTTTTTTCTAAAGGTTCTGTAGTTTTGATGGGCAAAGAGGAGTCTTGTGTCCTGATTATGGTTTTGCATGATATTGGAGCCATCAGCCCGACTCTTCTGGATAGGGGAGAAGATGTTGAGCTGACAGCGATGTGGGCGGATGTCTCTCCACTCTGTGGTTGGTTGCATCAGTGGGCTGTGGTAGACTCCTTTGTCATGTGGTGCTGAAGTTGTTTTTTGTTTTTGAAGCCCTTCAGTCTCAGATGCCGTCTGACGGTTATGGGACTGCAGTCAGCACCAGTAACGGCCTTAATTTGGGTTGAGGATCGTCCAGTGTCTTGACAGACCGCCAATTCCTCCGGCTCAGTGCTGATGAATTTTTCTGGGGTCTTCCACTTGACGTTTTTGTTCCATAACCCTCAGGAACATTTAAGAAATTTCAAATGACTGTCACACTGCGTCCCACCTCAGCAGCGATGGCGTGCTGCAGGAGACCCTGCTTTTGCAGTTCAACAACCTGACCACGTTCAAAAAGGGAATGTTTTTGTGCCTTTGCCATCAAAACATCATGACAGTGTGACAGAAAATGACAATGTGGTCCTAAATTTTTGATCAGCTGTAAAACAGCCTGTTTCAGTTTAAGCATTGATTTCAATAAATTACATGCTAAAAAAACTGTTTTGTCTCACTCCCAAAATATGATTTTTTGCCATTGATCGGGACTGTAGGATGTACTGATCTTTCTGACATGCTCTTACACATGTTCAAGACTCAGGCATAGTCAAGATACATCCCTGTTTGAATATATCGATCATATTTACATCCCAAGACCCTCAAAACGACTACCAGATGTGTGTTAGCACAAGTACAAACATCTGCTATTTCAATGTGACAGGCTGCAATTGTGCTATGTCCAACGCATGTTCCTTAATTTGCAAAATACCATCAGAAATAAAGGGATTTTAATGCCCCCAAACTGGCTGTGACACTTGATTTTGTTGAACTAATAAACATTTTAGGAAGGTTTATGACTTTTGCACTGGAGATTTAAGAGAGTACAAGAATTTTATTTGATTGTCTCTAATCTAGTTATGTATTCTGAGTTTTACCATAAATTGGTGACTCAACCATTTGGTAGAGACCTCTATTTAAAAAAACGATGGGGTTGTTTGAATAAAAGAATAAAGATTATATTTACTGTGGCCCCAAATGAGGAAAAAATACAGTGAAAAAATGTTTTCATGTTTTTTTTCTTGCCGCTGCCTTTAAAGGCTCAAGGTCACTGAAATTTGATCTTGTTCAAGATTTTTAGTAGATACACAAATGGTATCAATTTGAAAATCCTGTCGCTTTGTTCTCGAACTATCACGTTCACGAGATTGTCAGAAAACTTGACCTCTAACCTTAAGGCTGAGCTGAAGGTTTTTATAAGCTTAAAATTCATATGAGTTCAATTCAATTTGATCTATTTAGCGCCAAATCACAGTGGATTAACTTGCTGATTAATTTCCCAGGTAACAGACTGATTGAAAATAATGAGAAATTCTAATGTCTAAATCTAAAAGAGCAGAAGTGTGAGAGTACAACAACAGCATGAACAAAAATAGGTCTGAGGAACCACTGGAGCATAAATAAAAAGCAAGTGAACTTGGTTATCATTCACTATCTTTCACCTCACAATGTGAACATAGAAATTTATCGTGGTCCACTTTTAGATCCATTTTGAAGAGGACTGTATATAAAAACAAGATTTCAGGCTGCAAACAAGGTTTACAGTGTACAATTTAAATGGCAAACCCATGGACCCTATTTCAGAAAGCAGATTTAGTGAAAATTTGTGTTATTATTGCCAAAAATGTTCTAACAGTGATCAATCACTGTGACAAAAAAAAGACACAAACACTGAAAATACATTTACAGGCACAATGGAGGCATACAGATGAACATACACATGAGACTGTGGTTCAGGGAATCATCTTGCACCCACAGACATCAATAATGCTGGACAGACATTTTAATTATTAATGCTCTGAATTAAGTATCTTTCTATTGCTCTACACTATGTCTGTGTGTGTGTGT